ATAAAGTAAAAATACAAATTACAACTTCAGGAAAATATCTGAAACTATATCACAGACAAAGGGTTATTAATATCTCCAGTATATAAAAGGCTCCTAAAAATGAAGAAAAAGACCAATCACTCCACAGAAAAATGGGTTAGAGATAAAAGATGATTAACTTTGCCTATAAAAGAAAAGCAAATTAAACTACACTGGGATACCATTTCTATCTATCAGATTGGCAAAAAATCCAAATGTCTGACCACATACTGTGTTGGAGAGTCTCTGGGAAAACAGGCACACTTATACCTTACTGATGGAAATTCAAAATGGCACAGCTCCTATGGAAGAAAATTTGATAATATCTAGCAAAATTATAAAACCATATACATTTTGGTCCAGTGACTTCAGTTCTAAGAATCTAGCTTAAAGATACACTGGCAAAAATGTAAAAAGCCCAAGCCATTTTACTGCACTACTATCTGTAATACAAAGATTAACTAAAATGTCCATCAAGAGGGAACTGGTTGAACATGATTTGTCTGTACAACACAACACAGATGTAAAAAGAAATAAAGATTATATATACAGTTGTCCCTCAGAATCTGTGGGGGATTGGTTCTAGGACACCCCCCACCCCCATGGATACCAAAATCTGTGGATGCTCAAGTCCCTCAGACTATAAAATGGCTTAGTACAGCTGCATCCAAGGATGCAGCTTAGTTCTGCATCCAAGGATGCTGAACCTGTGGATATGGAGGACTCACTATATATTCTTACGGAGTGATTTGAAGGATACATTGTTATTTGAAAATTGCAAGGTGGAGAAAATGTATACTGTATGTTACTATTTATCTAATGGGGGATAGGAATATCTATGTAGTCGCTTATATTTTTTGTAAAAGAAGGATAAGCCATTTAAAAACACAAAGATTATCTAGAAGGAGAAGGGGAGAAATAGGGTAGAGGAGATGAGGAGCTTCTCTGAATACTTCTGGTTTTGTAGATCTGACTTTGGAACCATATAACTATTTTCTACAAAAATTAAATTAAAAACAAAGGAATTCCTAACACTTGAAAACAAAATGAAGCAAATGAATCTAATTGTATAGAACTGATAGCATGACCACACAGAGAAGACCAATTCCAAGTTACTGTTAAGTAATCAGCACTGATTCATTTGTTATTTTAAAACTGTTTTGTGTGTAGTATGGAGTAAAGCAAATGAGTAATCATACTGTTGTTTAAAACAGGACCTTTGGTACCAGAGAAAGAAAATTCATATGTAGGATAAACGAGGTTAAAGAAAAATCCTGTAGTGCAATATCTTAACTGGATATATCAGTCTGACCTTATATCTTATCTGAATTGATATGACTTCATGGTGATCTGTACATTTCAAACACACACACCCACCCACACCCACACCCACAATGTATGTATTCCCTAGTTTGCCCAATAAAAAGACCTAGAAACAATTAACAACCCAATAACAATAAGCATCTCTAGTACCCAGATCATGGTCTCTTAACACCACTTTCCCCTAAAGGAACTAGAAAGAAATGGCTGATTCTAAGCATGGGATAAGCAATGTGAAAGATGATCATAACACATCTTCACAACAGAAAGCAACAGCGCTATCATCTATTACCAGGGTCACGTCAAAAGGATATGACATGTCAAGTTGAAAGGGATTCCAACAGCCAAAAATAAGACATTTGTACAATAAGAATAATAACTGTCAATGGATCAAAAGATACCAAACAGGCTTACACTGTAAGTTTATAAAGATACAAAAACCCCTCCAAAACCCCTAACTGATCACATATATAAGACTGTAGAACACAGATTATTTGAAAAATGGGAAATAAAGGACAAGAAACATCCTGCCTTTCTATTGTGAACTAGAACTCAGAATAACTGAATAGTTGTTGAATAGCAGTTTTCTCTTTATAGAAGTTTTTCAGTTAATAAATGAAGAAGGAATGATAAAATTTCACTGTTTTATAATGGATCTAGGTAATGATCAAAGGGTGCTATCATCGCAAGAAGATAAATAAGGCTCTATACGACTTTTGATGGAGGCATCCAACGTTGTCTATGAAATATTATTTTGTTAATTGCGGTAAAATATATAACATAAAACTTACTATCTTAACAATTTTTAAGTGTACCATTCACTACTGTTAACTATACTCACATTGCTGTGCAACCCATCTCCAGAACTCTGCCATTTTGCAAAACTGAAACCCTATACCCATTAAACTCATTAAACAGCAACTCCCCATTTTTCCTTCCTCTAGCCTCTGGCAACTACCATTCTAGTAGTCTATTTGACTACTTTAGGCACCCCATGTAAGCGGAATCAGACAGTATTTGTCCTTTTGTGACTGGCTTATTTTACTTATCATGATAACTTCATAGTTCATCAATGTTGCAGCACGTGTCACAATTTCCTTCTTTTTTAAGGCCGTATAATATTCCATCACATGTATTGGGTTGGCCAAAAAGTTAGTTCAGATTTTTCCATAAGATGTTATGGAGGGAATTCCCTGGTGGCACAGTGGTTAAGCATCCGCCTGCCACTGCAGGGGACATGGGTTTGAACCCTGGTCCAGGAAGATCCCATATGCCGCGGAGCAACTAAGCCCATGAGCCACAACTACCAAGCCTGCGCTCTAGAGCCCACAAGCCACAACTACTGAGCCCACGTGCCACAACTCCTGAAGCCCACACAACTAGAGCCCATGCTCTGCAACAAGAGAAGCCACCGCAATAAGAAGCCCATGCACTGCAACGAAGAGTAGCCCCCACTCACTGCAACTAGAGAAAGCCTGCATGCAGCAACGAAGACCCAACACAGCCAAAAATAAATTAATAATAAATAAATAAATATATTAAAAAAAGATGTTCTGGAAAAACCTGAACGAACTTTTTGGCCAACCCAACATATGACACATTTTGTTTATTTATTCATCTGTCCATGGACACTTGGGTTACTTCCGCCTTTTGCCTATTGTGAATAGTGCTGCTATGGATATGGGTACAGAATTATTTGTTCAAGACCCTGCTTTCAATTCTTTTGATCTGTAAAGTATTATTGGGGGAGAAAAAAAGGAAACCTGGGTCTGATGAAGCTTCGAGATCTGACTACCTATTTATATTTACAGAGAATACAGGTGACTGAAGAACATTATCAAGTAACACCACAGGAATACAATCAGCAAAACAGACCCTCTTTCTTCAATAGATAAACGGCAGTGGGGAAAAAAAGGATGGAAAGGAAAGCAATATATTAAAAGTAAGAGAAACTTAAGAAACCTATCAATCAATTGTAATATATGAACCTTACTTAGATTCTGATTTAACAAATCAAGTGTAAAGAAAGAGAAATTTAAAAATCAGGGAAATTTGAATATTTTATATGAAGAAATGATCAATGATTTTTTAAGATGTGATGATATCTAAGAAGAATCTATATTCTTTAGAGATACATGCTGACTTATTTAGGAGTGAAATGACCTATTTGGGAACTCTTTAAAAATAATCCGAGATGTGGGACTTCCCCGGTGGTGCAGTGGATAAGACTCTGCACTCCTAATGCAGGGGGCCCGGGTTCAATCCCTGGTCAGGGAACTAGATCTCACATGCATGCCGCAACTAAGAGTTCGCATGCCACAACTAAGGAGCCGGCAAGCTGCAACTGAGGAGTCCTGGAGCCACAACTAAGGAGCCCACCTGCTGCAACTAAGGAGTCCATGTGCTGCAACTAAGGAGCTGGCGAGCTGCAACTAAGACCTGGTGCAACCAAATAAATAAATAAATAAGAATGCCAACTCTCTAAAAAAAAAAAAAATAATAATCTGAGAAGTGGGGATAGGGATTGTGAGGGAGGACTGGTAAGGCTACAGTGAAACACTGATGGCAAAGACTTGAAAATTGTTAAAACTAGTTTGCATAGGATTCTACTTTTGTATGGTTTGAAATTTTCCATAATAAAGCTTAAAAAAAAAACAAAACAACTCTGACTCACTAATTTGCAACCTTTTCCATGAGAAAACTACCATTATTTCAGTTCAACACACTGTTCTTAGAATAAGGAATTTTTTTGTTTTAAAGGAAAGTCACAAACCAATGTAAGAAACAACATCCCTGATAAATAGTTGCAGTCAAAATGATTAGTTGTCATGGAAGGCTTTTTTTTTTTTTTTTACTTCCTAAGAGAAATATCACATTTTAGCCTAGTCCAAATATTCTATTCAATACTCAATGTAAAAATAATAAATGAGAACTAAAAAGGCAAACAATCACACCCAAACTATCATCTTGTTCTTGGGATGTTTTGAAACATTTACATATTGTCTAAAGACAAAATATTGAAGAAAAAAAAAAACCTAACCTTTGATTTTACATAAATTGAATTATGCTATTTAGAAAAAAAAAACTGAACTTAGTACCTTTATTTAACTCTTACATTAGTACTGTTACTAAATATTAGAACTAAAAATTCAATTTAAAGATTTGAATAAAAAGCTTTCTGGAAATATACATTACTTCTTTTATGTGAATAACTCTTCCACCAAAATGTGAGAATTACATAACTAGCAAGTTTGTAAGAAGGGAAAGATAGTTAAACAGGGAGAAAGGTAGCCAAAAAACAATCTGGGGACTTCCCTGGCGGTCCAGGGACCATTGGTTAAGACTCCACCCTTCCACTGCAGGGGACACAGGTTGATTCCTGGTCGGGGAACTAAGATCCCACATGCCGCACCGTACTGGGCGGTCAAAAAAAAAAAAAAATCAAAAAAAAATCTGAATTGTAATATCTACTATCCCTAGTTTCAGATATTGAGAATTTAATGAAATTTCATGGTCATACATGCAAAAACATAAAAATGTTTTAATTCCTTTTGATTCATATCTACTTCAAATATAAAAGCCCAATTGAATTTCTGTCCCTAAACAAATGTAATATCTAAAAACATACACAAAATCATAGGAATAACAATGTTTAACCCTACCTGAAAAAGATCCAAAAGAGGCTTCCAAGAGAGCATTAAGACTGCTGCTCTGTTGATGGTTTTGGGAATTTCAGAATAAAACAGTGTATTTTCTCTGTTCTCACCAGACATAGCTATAAAAGGAAACAATCATTTTTTGTTATTTTAAAAAATAGCAATCTACCACAATTATAGTAGTAAGTATATAATGCCTCCTATATACTGCAAAATTTTGTACTCTATGGGACCTATAATGAATGTTAACAAGTAGGAGATGCACATGCCATATGCCACGGTAATTTTCTTCAGTAAAACCCAGGCTCCCAGAAAAATCCTCAGGTTTCCTTTTGATATTCAAATTTTAGTCCCTCTCAAAATAAACATAAAAGTGTATAAGATGATGTAAGGATAAGTGTCACTTTTAGTTTTGTTTTTTTTTTTAATTGTTAGTGTCTTACAAGTTGGCAATAGACTCATTAGATTCCAAATGGGGGTACTTTGTGACAACTTCAGACTACCAAGCTTCTTCTTTTTATGAATCATTTAAAGTATTTACTTAGAAATATACATAGGTCTAACAATTTGAGTTTTTCTTCACTATAAATGTTCTACCACTATAATCACTAATAAGCTTCAAATGAAAGTACATTCATATTAAGACAACACAGAATCTGATATCTGATTTGTTAAAAGTCTCTTTATTCGAGAATTGTGAAAGAAAGAGGTCTACACTAAGTAGAAGATAGGTCTATTTTGTGAAATCATACAATAACTGAATGGGAAGATCACAGCAGTGTAGAATAAACTACATACCAAAGAGAAGTAATAGAAATACAACATGGTTATGAAGAGGTGAACCAAAGAAAACTCAAAGTAAAACAAAGCCCTTCTACTCTAAAAGGTGCTAGAAAGGTATCACTTCCGAAAAAGCTAGGGGAGAGTGAAGGAAAGAGAAAATAAATCACACAGGAAGAACAAAAACTCTCTCTAGTGGAACAAATCCTCAGCCTTGTGTTTCTGATAATGGTAGAGAAGGCAGTCTGTGGAAGGGCATGGTAACTTCCATGCTACCCTTGCAAAGGTGGGGGACGACTCTCCAAATACCCACAGATTCCTTTATCCTTTTATTATCCTAAACTTTTCTTAAACCTTTCTTAGTTTGTTGCCTTTTGGAGTAAAAAGTCAGGTATCAGCTGATATTTACTTCAGCACTTAGTTTTGCCTTAGATCTATTTTGTACATTCCAGAGTTACTTTGTTACATAATTCTTAAGACTGTAGTCACTTATCCATACCATTCATAATCTTACAAAATATGATCATATCCTCCTTAAGCCTTTTCCTTCTAAGAGCTTTCAACCTGCAAATATGAAAAAGCTGGTTCTCATCTACCCTCAAATGAGAGCCATCCACAATCACTTCAAATGCTCCTCTTAAAATTGCTCCTTGTTCCATAATGCTTTCCTTGGCTTCAACCCTGACCAATAAAAATTTCCAACACATTCTATGTACACACACACACCAGTTCTGGTTAAACACAAAATGACCTTTTCCCATTGTTTCTTTCCTGTTGACACACTGCTATTTATTGGTGTCCGAAGTATATTAAAACTTCTGAAACAACAGATTTACATGGAAAAATATTAATAGTCAGATGGATATAAAAGACTTGAGCAAATGAAATGGCATACAACTTTCTTGAAAAGCTCAATATTTTATAAAGATTGTCAATTTTCCTAACTTCATCTATAAATATAATGTAATCCTAAAACAGTATAAATAGGATTGGGAGAAAGGAGCTCTAATCTTATTTTAAGTTCTCAAAGAAAAACAAGCAAACAAAAATAATCAAGAAAAGTATGAAAAAGAGTGATGAAGGGTGACTAGTACTATAAAATAATAAAACATCTAAAGTTATGATAAAAATAATAATAGTAACAGCAGCATAACATTGGCACTTGATTTGACAGACAGATCAATGGAACAATACGAAGTCCAAAGTAAATAAAGATTTCAAAAAATATAGTTTGGAGCTGAGAAAGCCTTTCTAGATGTGATGCAAAACTACATAAAAAGTAAAAATTTAACTACCAAAAAACAAAATCACAGATTTCTACAGAAGGGCAAAAGGCACTAAAGGCAAAAGACATTAAATCTCAGGGGAAAATACTACAATGGGTTAATTCCCTTCTTGTACAAAAAAGTGCTTTATGTCAATAAGAAAAGCACCCACAACCCAATAAAAAATAGACAATGATTACAAACAGATCAGTCACAGAAAAAGAAATACAAACGCCTTGTAAATATGGGAAAGGATGCTCAACCTCACTCATAAGAAAATTAAAACTACAATGAAATATGGGGATATAATGTACAGCAATACTATACTGCATATTTGAAAGTTGCTAAGAGAATAAATCTTAAACGTTCTCATCACAAGAAAAGAAAATTTTTTATTAACTATAACTATGTATGGTGACAGATGTTAATTAGACTTACTGTAGTGATAATTTCACTATGTATATAAATATCGGATCATTATGTTGTACACATGAAACTAATATAATGTTATATGTCAATTAAAAAACAATAATAATTAAAAAAAATTACAGTGAGCAACTGCTGTTCACCAATCAGACTGGGAAAGATAAAAAGAAGTTTTATTACTCACTATTGGTACAGGTGTAGAGAAATACTCTGAGACAATGCTGGCAGGGATGTAAACTCTATAGCCTCAATGGAGGGGCAATTTGGCAATTATCAATACAAATTCAGAATCTGTACACCTTTTGTCCCAATAATTCCACTCTTTGGAATTAGTCCTATTAAGTAAATTCACACATGTACAAAAATGATCTAATACAGTGATATCTGCTCCCTCATTTTTTGTTAATACCAAAATAGAAAAACCTAAATGCCCATTATTAGAGGCCTGGTTAAGTAAAAGATGGCACAATTATATAATGGAATACTCTGGAGTTGCTTAAAAAAAAATGAATCTACAATTACTAATGTGGACTCATGCAGAGAATATCTCTTTAAAAAAAAATTGTCAAACAGCTTTGGAGGAGGGGAGAAAACCTATTTTTAAAAAATTAATAAACAAAGGCACATTAGCAGGTCGGCCCTCAAACACATCTCTGGCTATTCAGCCCTTCCTTTCCCACCCAACCCCTAGCTGTGGGACTCAACTCAGGCCTCAGTTCCTCCAGTGTTCCCATCTCTCACATCCTTTCTTCCTTATTCTAACAACCATTCATTGCCTTCAGGCTCTGGGTTAGGAAAATAAAATAGCGTGACTACAGGAAGGAAACTCCAAAATTTATAGGCTTGTGATTCCATTTCAACTATTGTACTGTACTGGGAGTGAAATCCCTTTCTTTAAGCAGTTTTAATGGTTAATTCATAAACATTTTTGTGAGACATTTGTTTATAGTTAAGAATTATGGATGGTATGGCTATAATTTTTAACTATTATACTAAATATAAGGGTTCCTCCCCTAATTGTGCCCAAACTCTCTTCCAACCAAGCTGCCTGATTTAGCAAGTATGGATGGGCTTTTCTTATATTGCTTCTCCAATCTGAGGAAAGTCTGACTTTCTGCCTCCGAAAAAAAACCATAGCATAAGTTTCTTGAGAAAGATATATATATATATTTCCTACTTAGATGACTTACCTAAATATTTTAGCATCATCTCTCAATAAATGTGTTCAATGAGCGACAATTAATGAATAGGCCTTTGGGACTTAAGCTAATACAAATAATAATTACCAGTTGGTGAATGCTAAGCAGCATACTATAATTTACAACTATTATTTCCAATCCTAAAAAATAATACTGTAAAAAAAAATAATAATACTGTAATGAAGACAGCTGCTTGGGGGATGGGAATGGGGTCTACAAATTTTTTTCTTTCCCTTTTTAGTTTCCTTCCTCAAACTAGCCATAGTACAATAAAACTTGGTTTGGCTGTACAAGAACAGTATTGTGTTTCTTAATATTGGTTTAAGTTGGAAATGTTTTCATGTAAAATGTTTAATACTTAAGACAATCCCATGAGATAGACATTAACCCTCATTTGATAGAGAGGAAATTGAGACCCACAGGGTAAACAAGTCAGCAAAGAGCGGATACCAGAGCTTAGGCTTCTGATTCCAAGACTAGCTCTTTATCCACTGCCCTGTGTCTATATATGTGCTAGGTTAGTCAATACTAAGCTGTGCCTAAGCATGATAGTTGCTCAGAATTTACTACCTATTCCTTTTACTACAACATCTTAGTAAAGCATTTAAGGTGCATAAACAAACAAAGAAACAAAAATGTCCATCAGTGGTATCGTGCATTTAATGAAGACAGACCTTAAACCTGGAGTGAATGGGCTCAGGAAGAAGAGACCAAAACCAGCCTTGGTTTAAAAAAATGAAAGCAGTAGCTGTTGAGAGTGGGAACAAACTACTGTTTTTATTATTTGTGTTCCTAATCTGACCATTCCTAAGGAAAGGCATTTTGAACTAGCTTTAGGAAGAAGTAATATCTAGCATCTTTACTTTGAAAGTAAGATCATGATCAATTCATGATCTGTTATGTGCAAATAAAAATCAAGTTAATGGGACAAAACAAAATGAAAACAGCACCAAATCTGAAGTTCTTTTAATTATTTTTTTTTCCTTTGGTGGAACCATCACTGATTCATTCACTTATTTATTCACCAAAATTTGAGTGCCAATTGCATCTAGCCTGTTTGAATTAAGAAAGCATTTCCTTTCAGAAACTATGACTTCACACTCACCAAGGTAATAGATCCTGTCCGAATGAGGCCCATCTGGATCATTCCTCTTCACAAACATAAAATCATGTGGTGCCTTAGCCATCATGTAGCCATGATATTTTCTGGTATCAGCAAGCAGCTTTTTAAGCTGACTCCAGGAATATCGTTCAACATAAAACGGCTCCAATTTAGGCCGATCCTGTGATTCAATATTCTCCTCACACTCTGCAGTTTCAAAGATCTCAACACCAAGCTGTTCTGTTTCCATCGCTGCTGCCATGTTGCATTTTCCTAGAAAAATAAGGCACATGAAGTTCACAGGTCTGCCTTCTCTTATATTAATCAGAATGACAGTCTGATAGGGCCCCCCAACACCCCCAAAAACGGGAAAAAATGCTTTTCAGTACAGTTGCAATTAAACTTCGTAAGAAAAGCAATAGCTCCCCCTTTTCTTTAAAAATGAGATTAAAAACAAATTGAGGTCATGTCTATTTCACAGTTGACTATAAATCTCTTGGGGAACTTTTATAAAAGGCTCTCCTTAAGTATCTCTTGCCAAAATTCCTTTTTCTTTCCCACATTGGAAGGAAACGGGCCATATGCCAGTTGGCTGCTATGTTCCTTCAAAGAGCATGTCAATAGTGAAGCTAAATGTGCCAAGGGAGTTAAGTGTTTTTGCACTTAAAAAAAGTAACTCATTTCATAAATGTGGACTTCTTCAGAGAACAGAAATAATCACGACCAATCAGAACAGTTATAAAATTGTGGCAAACAATGTACTTCTAATAACCTTTCTAGGGAGCTTACCCAAGATAATATAAATACTGTTTCCTTTTAAATGAGACTCCAAACAACAAAAGACCTAACTGGCTGGTACATTTTTTCTTTGTCTTTTGCTCTTGCCTAGACATCACTATCTGATGATCCCCTGTGTAACTCTATACTATAAGGAATTTATGTGACTATTACTACAGATTATAAAACTTCTATGATTAAATGAGAAAAAAGTGGATTTAGTTGTAGTTTATGCACAAAACATTTAATGTTCGTAATATCAATATTTTGATAAAAGTCCAAACCCAATTTATCACTTCAACCCAAAAACAGTATTAAGATTTTAGCTACTAATGATGTTTCTTTCATTTTACAAATCCAGAAGAGGATAATTTTTTCCTTTATCTATTTCAATATTTAAATGTAACAGGTGCAAAGTATCAGAGAAAATAACAAGAAGTGTTATTATAAGCCACTGTATGATATTCTGACATGCATTATTCATAATGCTACCAAAAAGGAGCAACATAAACAAAAATTCTGGGGCAACATGCTCTTTTTGAACTAATAAATGTCCAAAACATGTGGACTTAGGAGATAAACTAGATTGCATTTGTGTAACCAATTCACATAATTATTAACTACTTCTACAACAAAAATCAATACATGGCTGTATATTTAACATGATGTCTTTTTTAAACCTTAATTTCACAGGTTAACAGGAGTTCGTGGTAAAAACTACCAACCACAGAGAAAAAGTCATTAGCAGGTATGGGTTGTGAATTAGTCCATCAGGTGTGCTGGTGTGCTGTATGGCATTCGAAAGGAACAGAACTGTGAGGCCACGGCCACGATATTGTGTTTTTTTTCAGGCTACAGTGAACTACACTACCGTTTTCAATATAACAGTAGCAAGAGCAGCCAGAAAATCTACTGGAGAGTTCTATAGTATACAACTTGTAATATTATTACAAGTGGGCATTTACCTCCAATGATTAAAATCCAAACAGCTCAACAGAGGAAAAGTCATTTAGCTCAAATGGTATTCAGCATATTGATATTAAGTAGCAGTACATGACAGTAATGGTTGTTTGCCCATCTAAAAGCTGGTGGAGGTCTGTTTTCTATCAAATGTGTCAATGGATCTAGTTTGATTCCTAACAGAGTAAGGGACAGGTGAGACAAGGAGATATACCAACTGGGCTCATTCTTCTCAACTCCCTTGCGTTAAACTTGGAACTTCATCTCCAAACCACTGCTTGAAACAATAGAGCTTGGGGATGGAACGGGGAAGCTCAGACAGACTTCCCAAGCTTACTGCCCAGCTTCTTGAGTCATTATTTTGACATGTCTCTTACATAAAAGTTGCCATTACCTTGCACTTAAGCAAAACTATCTGGTATTCCTAAATTGTACTAGGTCCCTGGACTCACTATTTCTCTGACTCTCTACACACACACACACACACACACTTTACAGTTCAAATGACACTATTCTGTATTTTATGGTCAATGTATGTCTTGCATTTCCTAGGCTAGACCTGATATTACATAATTTTAGTAATTTACACAAACGTGTAACTGATTTAATTTCCAGATTTCCGTAACACCTTACATACAAATACATTCTCAAAATATGTAACCCGAGTTTTCTAATTGCAAAAATTAGAAAATAGGTCAGTACATGTTCTTAGCACAGTGCATATATTTCACTGCCCCACCTACCTCTTCACTTAAGGCCCTTCCCTGGTGCCTACCTGATTGTATTTTCATCTGTTCAGATCTCTTCCACATTCAAAGAGATCTTTTTGAAGTGACTCAACTTCAAGCATAGATCCCTCTGCTCATCCTGCTCTCTTCTCACAGGAGTCTTTCCTTTTCTCACCATCCAATCCTGCTCACCAGGATAATGAAATAAGATATAAAGCTGTTGATCATTATTAAAATGGATCATATGTGCCCAAAAAGATTAAGCCTAAAGTCTCAAATAGTACTTGAAAATAAAATTTATTTCTATGTGCCTGGTCCTGTTCTTCTGCCTTTTACATAATAACCAATTTGTATTATTTTACAGAATACATATTCAGCTGACTGGAGACAGAATAGACTCAACAGAATAACCAGTAAGAACTACAGAGTCATTTTTGCGGAGAGAACTAACTTCCAGTTAACATCAAGATTTTCACAAGATAAAGAATGTACTACCCATTTTCAGTGCCTTCCATTTTTGCTTATTTCCTTTCCACATATACTCTGAAAATAACTGAACTAGGTAACTTCTCTAGAAACGGAAGTGTTAAGTTCGTTGGAATTCTGGCTTAGTAAAAGAAGAAAAGCAGGGTCTGTGATTATACCTGTCACTTTGTTATCGGTTTTAATTCTGGGCTCTCGGAGCCCAGATAGGTGATGGAGAGAGATGTGGCTCAGTGGCAAATGGAGGGAAAAAAGTTGTGCTAACACAGCAACAACGGACTACGATGTCAAGACACCTCCCCATTCACTAAGCCCCTCATTCAGAGAAGAGCATGTGGGGTTAGAAAACAGCCTCAGGACTCTTGAATTTGGACCCACTCAAATGTCATTCCTTAATTTTTAATCCAGGCGCCAGTTTGTCCACTTAAACACCCCAAGCCTCGTTGAAACCTAGCTATTTCAGTCGTCAGCTAGTTGAGAGGTTCATTATCACAAAGTGGGCAACGATCTTGAAAGCTAGAATGCGGAAGAAGAGGAGAGGTGTAGCAGAGAATATTAAGAAGGGGGACTGGGGGGATGCCAAGTCTTAGAAGAAAAGTGTGTGAGGGGAAAGGTTTGAAAAAAAAAAAAAAAAGGTAAAGAAAAGCATCTATCCTGTGCCAGGTAGGTGAAATAGAATGAGAAGGGGCCAGTAAACAAGGAGGGCATCGACCTAAAGTGGGGCAGTAGAAAACACAAGCTGGGAAACCAGAAAATCTCAGTCCGAATCCGATCTGCCACAGTCGGACTTTAGGCAAATCCCTTCGCCTCTGTGGGCTTCCGTTTCTCATCTGTAAGCCCGGACAATACCCGGCTCCCAACCCCAGCAAGGCTCAATTAAGATAACGGACGTGGAAGTCCGGAGGCCAGCACCCAGCGCTCAGGGGGCGCCCAGTGAACGTTGGCTGACTCGGAATCTGAGAGCCTGGGCTTCCTCTTCCGGCAAGTTGGGTCCCGCCACCGGCTGTGGCCCGCGCAGGGCGGCGCGCCGGGTAAACCGCAGAGCGGGCTAACCGGGAGAATGCGCCGGGCGGTTCCTCCGTGAGGCGGAGAGGCCCGAGTGGGCTGAGGCGCAGGCCTCGCGGGCGAAGGGGAAGGAGAGGGGGCGGATACTGCACCTTCCCCCCCCGGCCCCGCCCGGACCGTCCTGACGCGCGCTAAGGACCGGGCCTGCGCCGCTTCATGCCGCGCGGCCTCCACTCCCGACCAGGGGGCAGCGGCCTCCTTGGCTACGGCGCCGGCGGTAACCGAAGCGGTGAACGCGGCACTTAAAGGCGGCGGCGGCGGCGGCGGCTCCAGCACTTCCGGTTTCTTGCGCGCTGCCCTTCAACGGGGGAGGCGCAACGGCGCCAAGAGGAGCGCAGCTCTCTGCTCGGCGGGGTTCCCTTACGACAGTGCCGTCTAGTGGCCGGAGGAGCGAACGAGGCGCGGGAAGGAAACTGGGCGGGGGTGGGGGACAGAGAAGAAATCCAGAAAGGGGCAGTAACTTGCTGGAAATCACAGGACGAACTGTGGCACGTCCGTAGTCATCTATTTTTTTCCTTCGACAAATATATATTGAGTGCCTCCTATGTGCCAGGCAGAGCTGTAGACACTGAGATTAGAACACGGAGCAAGCCAGGCAAAAATCCCTGCCCCTTCATGGAGATGGCATGGAGAGGGAAGGACCAGGACCTTGGGGATTTTCTGGGTGTCTCATTGTTATGGTGGAAAGAAACCTGAACTTGGAGTCAGAAAGCTTGGCTCTAGTACTAATTAATGACCTTCAGCAGGTCAGTCTCTTTGAGCCATGGTTTCTTTATCTGTGAAAGAGATGTAATAACGTCACTTAATTGCACTTAAGGAAAACCACGTGTGTCATACAAACACCTAAAGATGAAGGAACTGGGGCCCAGGGTAGGAAAGTGAGTGGTGTGCTATTATCAGGACCAGAGGCAGGTCTCTTGACCCGCAATTTATTTCCTATTCTACACCATACATTGGCTGAGAGAAAGAGAAAAGGGGAGCCTTGGGAGATGACTGGGAAAGTGGAAGGTGTAGAACAAAACAGTGGACAAGCTGGGCCTTCCCTATTTTATATTATTACAAGGACCCATTTATCAGAGGTGTGTGTAATTAGGCTTTATTGTAATAAAAGATCCATCTGGGTGCCATGTTCTACTCCTCAGTATGCAATTATTCACTCTGAGGTTAAATGAGTCTTTGCTCAGGCTTTTTTTTTTTGAGTTGAGTTCCTCTAAAAGTACAGTCATGTTTTCACTGGGATTCCTTTATGACTTTTGTGCAAAAAAACCAAACAAACCCCCCCAAAAAAACACCCGAAAGTAGGTTTTAAGGCTTTGAATGCAGATGCACATGCTAACAAAATACAATGAAACATCTTGCACTTCATTTCATTCATCCAAATGTTTACTGAATCTCTGCCATGTGCCTGTCACTGTTCCAAGCACTGGTGCTACAACAGTGAATAAAGTAGGCAAAATCCCTGACTTTGTGCAGTTTATATTTGAATAAGAGGAAAAAGACCTCCCCAAAAGCAAAGAAAAAATATAATTTTATGGATTTCAAAAAACAAGCTCCAATAGATAATCGACAAGGACCTACTGTATAGCACAGGGAACTCTGCTCAATACTCTGTAATAACCTAAATGGGAAAAGAATTTGAAAAAGAATCAAAACATGTATATGTATAACTGAATCACTTTGCTGTACACCTGAAACGAACACAACATTGTTAATCAACTATACTGCAATAAAAAATAAAAATTAAAAAAAGAGAGAGAGGTTAACAGCAAACCTCAGGGGAAAACAAAACAAAACACCAAAAAGAAAAAAACAAGCTCCAGAGAGGTAAAGGATGTGCTGAAATCATATGTCTAATGACAGACTGAACTAGATTTGACAGATTTCTTTGTTTTCAGTGTTATTTTCTCTTCCTATGGCAGGGTTAAAAAGCCTCTAACCCTGAGAAATCTGTGGGGGGAACATCTCCATCACGCACCCTGGCCACCTTGCATGTATCCACATAGGCCTCCTAGGCAAAGGCTGGAACCAACGGTTATCTGAGTTGTAGCAGAAGGCTTTGTGATCTTTCCAGAACTGGAAAGGAACAGTCTTATGAAGACCTTGAGGCAATCTCCCCTGGGGTTCTTCCCTGGGACAGCCAGGAGTGTTCTCTCAGAACCCTCCTAGGTTCTGATGAGGTGTGGGCTTTCTACCTCACCCCCGTCAGAATAGAGCTGAGAATATAAAAACCTAGAACTGGCTGCAGCCTAGAACTGGCTTCTCAAAAGCCAGTTAACCCAGAACGTACATTGCAGTCACCTGGCCCCTTCTTTTGCTTCAGTAGTGTCCTTTTTCATACATGGGACAAGGACCACTGGCACCTTGATGCATTCTTCCCTTTGTTATACATGTAAGTAATAAACTGTCTGAGGCTAAACTGGCTCCTTGGTTTTTGGTTTTTTGTGGCATGTGGGATCTTAATTCCCCAACCAGGGATTGAACCCTCACCTCTGCATTGGAAGGGCGGAATCTTAACCACTGGACCACCATGGAAGTCCCTAAACTGGCTCCTTGTATCTTTACTGGCTGAATCAGTCAGGCCTGGGCCTTGCCAAACACAAGCAAACTGTGTGCTTGACAAAGCCTACTTAGCTGTATTATGCTGCCCTACACTCTAGGAACTCCTCAGGAAAAGGCAAGTTATCTAGCACACGTGGTCTGAATAAATAGCATGGTGGGGTTGATACGAATCCGTCCCTGCTGTAGACTGAAAAAAATCGCAAAGCATCATGAAACAATCATATTTTGACATAAAGGACAGCAGGCAGGTAAGTGTGAGTGAAAGCTAGGATGGACAAGTGAGAACTCTTCCCAGGGTACCCTGGGCTGCATCTTGAAATCAGTGCCTATTTGAGGTAATCAGGTCCTCATCCAGTTCTGACCTCATGTTTTAGAGAACCTGACATCTTTTCACATGGGGCCTCATCAGAGACCAACCCGTCTCCCAGTCCTTCTGCATCTACCATTCCATGATCTTCAGGCAGTGGTAATTTTGCTCAGGTACTCATGGATCAGAGCACGGATTCCTGGAGTCAGGCAGACCTGGGTTCACATCCTGGCTCCTCTCCTTACTAACAGATTAATATTGGGCCTCTCTAAGTTTTATTTCTCTCATCTGTAAAATGACTTTTTCTTCCCTCCTATGCTTGGATAATTTTTATTTAGTCTGCATATTATTCCAAATATTTTCTGTCTTGAATGTGCAACTGAGCTTAAAAGAGAGGAATCTGATGTCTGTTTTCTAATCCCAGAGTTATAACTCCCAGAAAGTATGGTTGCCTCATGCTAGCTCCCTATGTAGGGAAGGATCAAGGGTTATAAAGGAAGAAAACAAAAAGACAAGTTACTCCCCAGTATCTTAGCACTATATAAAGTTGTAATCAAAATTTTTGTATTTCTTATCATAAACATTTTCAATATTGCTAGTTTCCTATTCATCATTTTGCACAGCTGTACAGTTTTCCATTGCGTTGTTATACCACAGTACATTTGGTCATTCCTGAGTAAGTCCCAATGTTTCAACATGTAACATCATGAACATCTTCATATATACATCTTCCTTCTATGAAATTATTTTCTTAGAATAAAATCCCCAAAGGGGAATTACAAGGCCAATCAGCGTAAACATCTACATTTATCTTGTTACATATTGCAAAACTGCATTCCAAAATGATTCCACAAATTCACATTGCCCTTACTTACATTCAGCATGAATGTGCCAATTTCACTAAAACTTTTCTAGCACTGGGCATTAGCATCAACATGCATATTTTAAGCATCTACTTTCTGAAACATTGTACTCGATGCTACAGGATACCAAAAGGAAGCAATCTGTGTTCCAGGGAGATTTATAATCTAGTTGAGGAAACAGATCACAAGCATGTAATGTACACACTAATAGCAGTTGAGCTTACAGGGTACGATGGGCTAGAGTTTGTTTTTCCACTTCCTCCATATTTTATACCTTTTGGAGGCATAGTATAAGCCAAGCTGCCATAACAAAAAAGAGCTTTTCAGCTAATTTTCTTTTGCGTATTTAAGTTTTTGAATAAAAGAGTATATAGTAAAAAATATTCTGCTATGCTGGTCTTCCAGTCACCCAGTTTCCTTCCCCACAAGAAACTGATGTTATTGGTTTCTTGCATATACTGTCCAGTAATATTTTATGATACATAAACAAATGCTTATGTACAAATGTATTATTCCTCCCACTACTCCACTATTTTTACATAAGTGGTAGCATGCCAACTGTCTGTACCTGGCAACCATGTATTTGAAAGCCAAGAATTATCAGGTAGGTCAAACTGGATAGGGTGGAAAGGCTACTCCCTGCACTCAAGGAAGGGGCCCATCTCTGCATATTATTCTGAACTGTGTATTGACAGGCTGAGGGGAAGATTTTTCTGGCAATGACTGGCTGCAATGCTCACCACTCTCCTGGCATAGTTAGGAGGTTACAGGGATATGAGCTGGCTGCCTGAATTCCCCAGTAGATGCCTGGGCTGATCTGTTAGTCTCTCTCCACTCTCAGTTTTGTGCCATCTAGATAGTAACCTGATTTTGGTTAAGGATATCTGGCTGGGTGATCCTGGGTGAGGCACAAAACAGCCAAATTCTACAGCTCATTTTCCAAAACTTCTTCCAGGAATAAAAGATTCTGTAAAAAGGTGAACAAGGAGAATGTGTATGATCACTTGCCAAAGGCAGGAGTACAGACTTATGCACTGAGCATGTGCTTCATCCAGAGGAAACACTCAGCAAATGCTTCTGATGGCCAGAGAAAGGAGAGGTGACCCTGGGCCACACGAGGCTGGGAAGGCTGCATCTGGAAGGGAGAACACAAAGACAGTGCTTCATTTGCATTTTAATTTGACTAGCATTATCATAAAACCATCAGCCCTACCTGTTTCAGCTTGGCAGGGCTACTTGTGCTCTGCCTTTTTAGCCCCTCTGCCATCTTTTAGTTTTATAGTTTACCTGGATGTTACTCTTTCCCTTCTCCATTTCAATATCTTTTTTTTTTTTTTTTACTGGATTTCTCATAGAGAGAGAGTTCCACAATAGCTGTCCTTCTCACAGGAAAATTTAGGAATAGCTGATAAGAACATTGGAGGGGAGTGAGTCCAACTCTCTCATTTGATGGATATGGAAACTCAGCCCCAGAGAAGTCATCCAGTAGGTTAGTGGTGGTTGAACCAGGCTGGATAAACCCCTTTCCATTGGACTTTTCTTATG